CCCCTCTCCTCCCCCACCCTGGTGGGACACGCTGCAAGAACATCCTGTGCCTGCAGCAAACAACGCCCACCGCTTCCAGTAAGAGGTGATGCTGCTGCATGGGTTAGAGGGCCTGAGCCATGGGGCAGAGAACCTCGTGGTCCACCCCATGTGTTTCTGTACCTGCTGGCTACGGTGCGTTCTCAAGGCACAGCCCAGTTACCAAAGCAGCAGAAAAATATTCGAGCAGGGCTCAAACATGAGCTGCAGGGCGCTCCGCGTGCCTTTCTCACCTTCCTGTGACACGACACGTATTGACTCCCGACAGGGACAAACCCCAACACGAACGATCCAAGGTGGAGAACGTACGATCCCTATTTCCCATCCATTACGTGGTAAAGGAGAAGCTGAAGGTCTCGCTGTTTCCTGCCAAAGGCACCTGGCAGATCTTGCTTCCCAACCTCTACTGCCTACACGAGGCCACAGCCCGGCCACCTAAGACGCTGGGGCAGGACAGACGCTGGGGCAGGACAGACGCTGTGCTTCCCACCAAAGGAACAGCCAGCGACCTCCTGTCCATGGGATCGGCTCTTTTTTCCAAGCAGAGCTGCTGCCTCCCTCTTCACGAAGTTACAGGCGGCAAGCGGAGGCGAAGAGCGAGGCGGTGCGATGCCTACCCACCTGCATCTCCAACAAGAGGAACCGCTTGGGTAATGCCTGACAACTTCATATCCAGAGAAGGAACCCAGCGAGGGGAAGTGCGGGCTGCCCTGCACAGTAAATACCCCAAACAGAGTACGCCAGACAACGGGGTGGACCTTCAAGAAGAGCTGCAGGTGCTCCCAAGGGTCACGTTTTGATTAAAACTAGACGGAACACTAGCAAACTGGTGGCCCAACTGCTGTGGGAGCAGCTTCCAACCCATAGCTGTCCCGGCTGCCAAGCCTAAGGGCATCTGAGAGTCGAAAGCCTGGAGACCTGAGCCCAGGTGGTCCTGAACATCACTGCAAGCAAAAGCAGAATCAGGCAGAGCAGATGCTCCAGGAACCACCAAGAAACCACGGGGGCTTGTCATGACCAGGTGAAGGAAGTTCCTGGAGCTAGGCATGCAAATGTAGGTCCCGTCCAACTCTGCCTGCTTGCTGTCAGTGCAGCAAGCTGCTGAACACCGTATTTAAGTCCCATAATATCCACGATAGAAAGTGTAGGTCACTTCTGGGCTGACTAACCCGTCCCTCGGTACAAGCAGCAGTACTCACCACCAAGCCCTGGTCATCCAGGTTGGTGATCACGTCCACCAGGTAGGTTCGGAGGGCAGCCAGCTTGTGCAAAGCGTCGGTCCAGTGCACCTGCTGGGTGAGGATGCTCTGGTGCGCTCGCTCCTCCTCCGTGTGCACCTCCTCCAGCAACCGCTGTTCTTCATTTTCACAGGCGTTCCCCACAAAGGTCAGCCTCTGGATAACCAGCTCCCGCGCCGCGTTGGCTGCGTTCTGCCAGAGGAAGGAGAGAGCAGAAACATCAGCCTTGCTTCAACCCCAACAAGAGCACCAACCGCTTCTGCTGACTTTCTGTGGGCTCAGCTGTTAACATAACTCTGTTAACCGAGCCCAAGCCACACTAACCACCACGATGCAAGCAGAAGTAAATGGGACAACCAGCCCCAAACCTGCCTGCTGCCTCCTGCCCTAACCCTGGCACCTAAGTGACAACCTGCGAGGGACCAGAGGCCCGTCCCTCAGCAGATCTTCCTGGATTTGCTATTAGCAAGAAACAGAGCCACCACGGAAGTGCCTCTTGTCCTTGGTGGCAGCGAGGCACAAACAGGAATGGTGAAGATCGGTCCTAGTGGGACATTTAACGGCTGTACACTAACACCAAGAAATGTAATGTTTGTGCACGTTTTTGGGGCAGATG